TGGGGGAGAGACACTCGTCCGACGCTGTTTCGGCACGCTTTCGACACTTCTCTCCGGGTGCTCGAGATCGTTTCTGGGATGTGCTCCTGAAGTGCGCGGGGGGCAACATGCAGCTCGGGTCGTGATCTGTGCACGGCCGTGCATCGGTTCGCGCCGTCGGGTCCCCGGGTCCGCGGGGGGGGGGGGGCAGCGCGCGCCCGGCCCCGCCCTCGAGGCGCCTCGGGGAGGTCCGCTCCGCTCCCCGAGGCGCAGATGGCCGCGTCGGTTTTTGCTCGCCCCTCCCGCAGGTGCGAGCTGCAGTGGGGGCGCCACCGCTCGTCCTGCAGTGGGAAGCCCATGCCAAGAAGCGCCCTGCTTGCCCCCAGGGTGCCCTGGGTCTCTGGGGTTTCGACGGTTCTGCCATGGGAAGAAGGACACTCCCACGGCAAGAATCAGTGGACGTCCTTGCGGTCTCAGGGTTGGGTTTCCTGCGGAAGGTTCCTCGTGGTTGAGCTAGCACTGTAGACCTCAAACCCTCGCTGCGTGTCTTTCCCTGGCGGTGCAGTTGGCGTCACCCACTGGGCGGATGCGCAGCCTCAGGCTTGCGGCTTGTGCTCAGCATGCCACTGGCTCCAACTCGAATGGCCCCCGGCCACCCGACCTGCGCCCCCACCGCAGCTCGTGCCCCCTGCGCCTCGGCTTCGCCCCGCCAGTGCAGGATCGCGGTCCGCCGCGCCCGCAGTGGCGAGAGTGGCCCTTGCCAATCTCCTGCGCACGCTCGACCCCAGCGAACTTCCACGATCCGCGGCCCGACAGCGCACGCCGCAGCGACCGCACGCCGCAGCGACCGAGACCCCCCTCCCCTCGCCAAGGGAGGAAAAAAAAACACCGACCCCGACAATCGGCGTCTACTAAACGGCCCTGGGCATTCACTAAACAGCCCTGCCCTCGGTTCCTTCCATGGGTGCGTTTACTAAACGGCTTCGCTTGTCGGGGTGCTTATTATTTGGGGGTTGATGTTCTGCCCTCTTCTTCGCCCCCGTCCCGCTGCACTGAAGTGGTCGCGCCAAGTCGCGACCGCCCAGCAGACCTTCGCCACGAATCGAAAGGCTTGAGCCTGGGCACGGCTCCAAGCGGCCCCCCCCCGCGGGCGCCCCTTGTTGGAGGGTGCGTCCAAGCAGTCGCCCGCGCCCGCGCGCCAGGCCGCTGCCCTCCAGGGGCCCCGCGCGCTCGCGCGGCCCATGCCCTGAGAGGACTCGGCGCGCAGTTTGGCTGCGGTGGTGCACACCTTCTATCAGTGCCTGTGCTGCCCCGCCCTCGCGACGCAGCGTGCCGGCCTCGCAGACTCGCTCCTCGCTCTCCGCGCCAGCGTTCTGCAGGCGCTGCCGCGGGCAGGCTTGGAGAGCGGCCCCACCGCAGGCGCCCCATCCTCGGGGTGTGCGCCCAGGCGCTGGCCCGCGCGCGCGCTTGGCCGCTGCCGTGCAGGGCGCCGCCCACGCCCCGAAAGGACTCGGCGTGCAGGGCGGTACACGTGCGATCCTCTGTCCTCCCTCCACCAGGTCATCCCGCCCCCCTCCCAGCCTTCCCCCTCCCTCTTCCTGTTTGGGTGCACGGGGGGGGGGGGGGGGCAACGATGGGGGGGGGAGGGGGGCAGGAGTTACGGAGTTACGGATATTGCGACTGTGTCGGTTACGATTAAGCCTCGCCCGCTCAGAGGACCTCGGAGAGATTGCGAAGCAATCGATACATGGAGCACTCCACCCCCTGACCACGACGAGGGACGCGACGATCAGGAAGCCCCGCACCAGGACAGAGTAGCCGTTCACCATATTGCGTGTGACGCTCATGTCCCTCCAGCTGCCGACGCCCAGGTGCGGGATGAGATACTCGAAAACAAACTGAACACCAGAACGCATCTTGACACCAAGCAAACAGCGAACATACATTCCCACACAAGAAAATAATATCGCCTTGCTTGCCCTGCGGGCCTGGGCCAGGCTCAGCCAGAATGCAGCCAAGGCCCCTTCGATGCCAAAGAGTATAAATGCGCCCAAATTTGCGAAACACCGCTTAGCATATTGCCCTCAAGATGAAACCCACTCTGCCGCTTCTGACACATCGATTGAGGCACACGTAACAGGAAAAGCGAACCATACAAAGTGGGGCGCCTTGCTTGCCCTCTGGGCCTGGGCCAGGCTCAGCCAGAATACAGCGCTGCGAAGACCACGAATACGATGTTGAAGAGACAGACATTCTTGAGGTGGCCCAGCAAAATGCCTGAGCGAAAATTCCAACCACATACGCAGAGAAAGTGAACAGCTACTGTTGCTTGCAATTGTCAGGGCTGCTGCCTGAAGGAGACGAAGACGACGCTGCATGTGGCTGCCCAGGCTGCGCCGTCATCCGATTCAACGCGGCAGCCGCCTCACACGAGATCGGGATGGCTCCTCTGCTCGGCCGAACTGGAGCGGCTGCAGCAACAGCTCCTCGCCCCTGAGCCAGAAGGAGACCATCGGCTACCAATGCTGCTCTCCGCCTCTGCCACGCGGCGCCTGCCGCCACGTCGGCAGGGCTCTGCTGTGGAGGATCGTGCGAACCCGCGCCGCTCACCCTCTCGCGACAGTCGACAGGAGGCGGTCCAGCCTGCATGTCGGCAGGCGCTGAAGCTTGCTGCTGCGGTAGAGAGTCGCCAACTGGGGCTTCGCCCTTCATCGCACCACCTGTCGGCACCGCCTCGCTGTCCCCCCTCAGAGCAGCCAATCCCCTCGGGGCCTCTGGTGGGAGAGATAGGGGCGGGGCGGCTGCCGCTGTTGCAGGCGATGCGCCAGCCAGGTCGCCCTCGGGCGCCCGACCAGGGAGAGGCTCAGGATGGACTCGATCGGCAGGGTCAGCATGATCAGCAACCAGTGCCTGGCGGAGCGCACTGGCAAGGCGAGTCAAGCCTTGGCCCCTGTGCTGCTCCACCTCCGTGAACGCGTGCAGGAGCCTCATGACCGCCCGTCCGTTCGCGCGAGCATACTGAGCTCGGCGCTCAGCTGCAGTGCGATTAGGACGACGGCGCCTGGGCTCCCGCTCCATGCCAGATGCGCGAAAGGCGAGGACGTGGTCGGAGCGGGGAGTTCCTGTGGTGCTGGCTTGGGGTTCGAGCAAAACTGGCTCGAGCCAAGCTGGTAACTGAAGGAGGAGGAGGAGAAGGAGGAGGAGGAGGAGGAGGGGGCGGAGGAGGAGGAGGAGGGGGAGGAGGAGGAGGAGCATTCGTTGCTTGAGCAATCCTGAGCAAGCTCAGGGATGTACCTCCCCAGGGAAAAACAAGCGACAAGCAAGTCTCCATAGGTTGGAGACACACGTCAGTTGTCACACTGGCAAGATCAGATACTGCACTCGACCATAGCCAAAAAACCACACATGGACGCCATGCTTCTGCAGCACGCTTCGAAACAGATCTGCATGTGATGGCCCCGAGGCCCGCAGCCAGGCGAAAAAGAGCCCAGCATGAAAGAAGTGCAACGCCCTGATCTCCGGGAAAGCACCGGCCAGGCAGCGCGGAATCCTCCGCGCCCAGCGGCCGCTGCGGCGTCCATCCTCAGTCGTGTCTTGACGGACCCTGGGTTAAGTCGGGCGTGTCCCTCTACAGGCGATGGGGGCGCGCCCTCTTCGGAAATAGTCAAAACAAAATATGGGGCGATTCGCTTCCTATTTTTGATCATGTTTGAATACTTGTTGGACTATTTGGGAATCTTTCGTCCAAAACCCGCCTGTAGGGGGACATGCCCGACCTAAACCCAGGGCCTGGCGAGGGCCCAAAAAGGCCGGACATGGTCAAAGACCTCCCGTCTGGATTCCCCCAGTAGGCCTGCCTCCTGGGTTCTTGCTTGGTCCAAGTTTGATGCCTCGGTGGCTTACTTTGTCCGTTGCCCCGAAGTTCCCCGGGTTACTCGGGTTCCTCGGGTTTCTCCGGCTCCTCGGGTTCCTCGGGGTCCTCGGGTTCCTCGGGTCCTTCCTCGGGTTCCCTGGGTTCCCCGGGTTCCCCGGGCTCCTCGGGTTCCTCGGGTTCCTCCGGTTCCCTGGGTTCCTCGGGTCATTCCTCGGGGTCCTCGGGTTACCTGGGTTCTCCGTCCTCGGGCTCCTCGGGTTGCTCCGGTTCCCTGGGTTCTCCGGGTTCCTCGGGTTCCCTGGGCTCCCCGTGTTCCTCGGATTCCTCGGGTTCCTCGGGTCCTTCCTCGGGTTCCCTGGGTTCCCCAGGTTCCCCTGGTTCCTCGGGTTCCTCGGGTTCCTCGGGTTCCTCGGGTCCTTCCTCGGGTTCCCTGGGTTCCCCGGGTTCCCCGGGCTCCTCGGGTTCCTCGGGTTCCTCCGGTTCCCTGGGTTCCTCGATTTCCCCAGGTTCCTCGGGTTCCCTGGGTACTTCGGGTTCCCCCGGGTTCCCTGGGTTCCCCAATCATTACCAAGCCACGCCAAGGAATGCCAAGCAATGCCAAGCAACGCCAAGCAACGCCAAGCAATGCCAAGCAATGCCAAGCAATGCCAAGCAATGCCAAGCAATGCCAAGCAATGCCGAGCACTGCGCCCATGTAATGGGAAGCGTTCCCCTAGTTGGGATCGCGCTGGGCATGTTTTCACGACTCGGAGGGGGGTCTGCGTCTCGAGGCAACACGGTATCCCCCCTTTTCGGGGCCCCAAAACCGTGTGGTGACGGACCGCGTGGTGACCTTGGAACCCCCAACTACCTCGCCGCACGGTTTTTTAAGACCCTGGGGACCCCAGCCGCCCGAGACGCGTACTCGGAGAACGACCCGAGCCCCAGAGCCGCGCGGCGACCCCGAGCCCCCATCGACCCACCACGCGGCGAGGGGCCCCCCAAGCCAACCGCGGCATGACATCACTCTCGTCCGAGCCTCATGCCTCCCTCCTTCCCTCCCTCCCTCCCCTCCATTCCTCTCCCCCCCCTCCCTCCCGTTTCCCTGCCTCGCCCACAGTGCAGCACGGCCTCCTCCGCGCCCGGCGGCGGCGGCGGGGCGGCGAGCCATGTAGCGCACGTCCGGCCCGAGCAGCGGGCCGCCGCAGTGCGCCAGCTCGCAGTGCGCCAGCACCACGTCGCCGGGCCTGCTCGCGGGCGCCGACGGCCCGGACGGCGGCAGCGGAGTCTGGCCCAGACGTGATGGGAAACGGTGCACGCGAGTGGCCTTCGTGCGATGTTGCTGGGCAGTGCCACGCGTGCTGCAGAGCCCCCGGGGGGGCGAAAGCTGCCCGCGTTCGGCACACGGAGGCCATCGGCGCCCGGGCAGGCCGGGTTGTCCTGTCGAGCGAGGTGCGGCGCTCCAAGGGAGCTGGTTCTCGAGAAAGTGGCTCCCAGGGGGACTCCGGAGCGGGCGCGTCTCCTCTCATCATGGGTGCCACGTCCATCGGCGAAAGCGCCACGCCACCCTTCACGGTCGGGGTGTGTATGCCGCCCCCACGCGCCCTGCCCAAGCAAACAGTTGCCACCGCGATTCGCCTCCGAACCGACGTGCCCGTCGCAGCGCGCTCACGATCGAAAACACGCGACATCCCAGAGGAACGAGAAGGTCCACAGCCCTCCAAACGAATGATTGAAGAATTCCACGCGGAGATGCTTCGTCACTTTCTGCTTCGTCTTCAATACGCGATCCCTTGAAGTGCCGACCCTTGCCCCTGGAGAGGCCTTTCATCCTAAGCCATTTTGGGACGGCCCCGGGGCCCGGCAAGGGCCCCCCGAGGCCGAGAACGACGGAAAGCCTCCGTCCTCAACTTCTCACGACGCGAGCACGTCGGGGACGTCGTCGTCCCCGACGTCGGGGACGTCGGGGACGACGACGCGAGCACGTCGGGGACGTCGAGGGCCTCGGGGACGTCGAGGGCCTCGGGGACGTCGAGGGCCTCGACGTCGAGGGCCTCGGGCCGGAGCTCGCCCGAGGGGCGACGGCGCGGGCCGGGCGCGCAGGGTGCCCCGTTTCCCGCCGCTCGGGCGCCGGGTCGGCGCCGTGGGCCGGAAGGCAGCGGTGAGCGAGCGAGAGGAGGAGGAGCGGGCAACACTCCAGAAGCAAAGGGGACCGGGACAAGGCCCGAAAGAAGGCGCCCCAAAAAAACATCACCATCGGAAAAAGTCGCCCGGAAGGAAGAACTCTTCCGGAGGAAGTCGCCCCAAAAGAACTCATCATCGGAAAAACCGTCTGAAAAAACTGTTCCGGAAGACCAAGAAGAGAAGGAGTCCAGGTGTCCACGACAAGCTCGGCGGCAGCGGCAGCAGCGGGCGGGCGGACAGACCTGCCACCCCCCAACTCTCGGGGCGAAAGGGCTAGGAGGAAAAGGAGGAGAGGGACAGGGGAGGGAGCAGCTTTGGAGCAGTTTTTTGGGTGGGGGGGCAAGCGTCGTGCCCCCCCACCCCAGCCGAGCTCTCACACGCGCCCGTGCCGTGCGCGGCGCGCGGCCGTCCCGCGCCCCCGCACTGCCGCGGTTGCCTCCTCGGCGCGCGGCGGCGGCCGTCTGCGCCGCCCCCTCCTCTCTCCTGCTCTGGGCTCTGGCGTGCTGTACCGAACTGGGCCTTGCCCCACAAGAGGAGGCGGATGGATGGCCCGCCGAGCTCTGCACGCCGCGCGCCGACGCGCTTGGCCCCATGTCCGTCGGCCAGCGGGCAGCTGCGGCGCTGCGGCCGCCTGCTCTCGCGCCAGCCGCCAACATGCAGCCCCTCGCCAGCTGCGCTGACCAGGCTGGTTCGCCATTCTGCCCGAGCTGCGGCCCCCACGCGGACTGGCCCCTGTGGCTGCTGGCCTGCATGGCCCCCTCCAGTCGTCCTGGCCGCCTCGCTGCCCCTGGCCGCGCCCTGGCCACTGGTGGTGCGTTTGCGCCCAGCTGCCTGCTGCGGAACTGTCGATGTCTCCTCTGCGACCACTCCGACTGCTGCGACTGTCAGCGCTGCGCCCACGGCGAGGCCAGCCGCCCCGCCTTCGGCGCCACTCTGCTCGGCTCCGCGTTCCCCACCTCTTCCACCATGGTTACCGTGGCTGGCCTCAGCCTGCCCCATGTGGCCCTCGCCGAGTTCTGCTACATGCTGGTCACTCTGGCCACCGCCCTGCCCCGACTGCTCGTTGCGGGCGTCCGTCAACAGCTGCTCAAGCTCCTGGACTGCATCTCGGAGCGAGTTGGCACGGCGCGTGTAGGTGGTCGATCGCATCTGCGACGCCAGGCCTGACTCTCCCCTTGCAAGCACTGCTGTCTGAGCTCCACTTGTCACCAGTGGGGCTCTCCGTCGACGATCCCGATGGCCAGGGCGACGATAGGCTGGCTGGCTGCTATTATTACCCTGCATGGGCTCCACCAGCTCCGCGTCCTCCTTCTTCTGCACCCCCTGCTCCAGCCTCACAACGTGGGTCATCAGCATTGCTGAAGTTGTCCTGGTAGAAGCCGTCTCCTTCCGCACCTGGCCGGGCCCCATCCGCCTGCCTGCGGGGAGGCCAATTGTCGACGTCAACGACTTCAATCCGCGGCTGGCCTTCGGCCCCTGCTGCGCTGCCCTGCTCGCAAGTGCTGGCCGCATCCTCCTCGGTGATCTCGACCTGCTCGGCATTGGCTGAGCCGCCTGCATCTGCTGGGTGATCGGCGCCTCCACGATGTTCCGCCCGCTCCTGCGCTCTCGAGGGTGAGGCCAGCAGTTCTTGAGTTTGGTGTGCTACAAGTTCACGTTCGTACTCTTTTCCCTCGAGGACTTGTAGGCGTTGCCTGTTGTTTCCTCACCTGTTTATCAGAGGTGGCCTGCCATGGATCCGCGCGCTGGCAAGCCGCCCATCGCCGCCGTTCACACCCAGCAGCTTCATCGCCCACTCCCGTGAAGAACGGCCCGAACATGGGGGCGCGCAGGGCGTTCATGACCGTGCTGATGCACGTCTCGGTCCACACCCCCTCTCTCCGTAAATCACGAAAGCACTGGCCAATTGCATGAGTCGGCGCCGTAGCGGCCCAGCGTCGTTCTCGGCGTCCTGCGCGCAGGGGTCGGTCGCGCACTCCCGCGCAGCTCCGCCCTTGGCGAGGTCGGGTCGGATCTGCTCTGTTTGCTGCCGAGCACCGCCGGCCCGGGGGGGCTGCATGGGCCCCATGGGCGCGGCGGTGGCCCCGCGGGGCGCCGCGCTGGCGGCGCCTCCCCGCCGTCTGAGAGCCGCGGCGGCGGCCGCCTGCCGCTCGCCACTGCGCGCCGCCTGGAAGGGGCTGCGAGGACCTCCACGCGCGGCAGGGGGCCCTCGGGGCGCCGCTCCGGCTGCTCTTCCCCGACCTCCAGGTCGCGCCCCTCTCCTGCTGGGCGCCGCTCCTCCTCGCGGCCCATGGGGCGGTCGCGCGGCTGCCCCTGGTTTGGGGGGGGTTCAGGGCGCTCAGCGAGCTGCCCCCCGCCCCGCCCTGACCGACGCGCCGCCCCCCCTGGCTGCCGAGGCCCCGCCCGCGCCACCCATCCAACGGCGGCTCGCCCCCCCGCCACGCGCCAGCGGCGCGCGGGGGGCCCGCGGGCACCCTGGCAGCCTCGTCCTCCACCAGCAGAAGGAGGGGCGCCGCGCTGCGGCCTGCTGCGTCAGCCTGCGGCGCCTTCGCCCGCGCCGGCCGCGCCCCTCGGCTGCCCCATCGCCCGCGGCTGCGAGCTCGAGGGCGAGGGGGAAGGCTTAAGCGGGCCGGGGCGGCCTGCGCCTCTGCTCTGGGAGCGGCCCCAGGATCTCGCACGCGCGGCTGCCGGCGGCGGCTTCGCGGGCAGGGCGCCCGCTTCGCCGGGCTTCCTCGCGCAGCTCCCGCGCGCGCCAGCGCCGCGCGCGCGGCTCCGATCGGCGCCATCTTCTCGCATGAGGCGTGGAAGGGCTTGGCGGCAAGGAACTCGGTCATCTCCTCAACGCAGCGCACCACCCACGAGATGCAGCCTGCTTCTCTTCGCGCCATGCCGGGGGCCCAATGCCCCGCCAAGTCCGCCAGCCCGCCCATGGATCGCCCGAGCCGCTGCTCCGCCTGGCGGGCGCGGTAGTCTGTAGCCGCCGCGGGTGGCCCGCTGCCCGTTGCAGCGCTGGGCTCGCTGCAGCAGGGCCGAGGGCCCTGGGCCAGCGATGCGGGGCGGCAGCGGCGGTTGACACCCTCTGCCTGGAGGTCGCCAGGCGCCCCGCCGCGGGCGCCCCCCCGCTGGCGGCGACGTCAACCAGCATGCTCGCGAGCGCCCATGGCCGCGCAGCGTGGCCTTCCCTCGAGGCTCCAGCTCCACGTGGCGACATTGAGCCTGAGACGTTCCCCTGCACGGGGGGGCCCTCAGGACTTTGCGCCCTGACGCCCCCCGCCCCACGCGGCGACTGCATTCCTGAGGTGCCCCTCTGACCAGGGGCTTCCTCAGGTTGCTGCGAACAGGCCATGGAGAAGTGATCCCTGGCGAGGCGGCTGACCTGGTGCCGCGGCAGCTCCGAGGCACGTGCACTGCGACGGTAGCCCGCTATGACTCTCAACTACGCCGTGCTCGACACTGCCCAGGTTGACCCGGCACAGGCTCGGCCCCGACCCACGCGCGCTGCAATGGTAGCCCCCGCGACTGTCCACTACGCCGCAGGTTCACCTCCCCTCGCCAGCCCCCCCCCCCCCCCGCACTCACCAGGACCCAGTCCGTGCTGAGGGCCTCGTAGGTCACGTCCATGACGCGGAGGAGGAGGACGCCGCGGCCCCCCCCGACCCGGCCGCACAGCGGCCGTCACAACCGCAGCACCTCGCGGCGCAGGTCCCGCCACGACGGCTCGCGGGCCAGGGGGGGCCTCGACGAGGGCGCCCGCCGCCCCGAAGAGGACGTCGCCGCGCTCACCGCCGCGCCGCGCTCGCCGCTGTCCCTCGCAGCCTCCAGCCCCTTCAAGTCAGTCGCACCGTCGCTCGCAGCTCCACCCTCGGCGTGGTTGAGTCGGATCTGAGCTGCTTGCAATGGGGCGATGCTGCCGCCTGCTGTCGGCGCGGTCTGGGGCCTTCGAGCTGGTTCCGCGGCGCCCTCGCCCACTGCCACCCCTGCCGTGGAACTCTTGGCCCCAGTCAGCCCGGCGCGCCGTCTTGATAGCATTCGGCGGAACATCGCCCGAATGTCCTCCAGCGCCCGCCCATGCCGCTCAACGAGCCGCCATCGATCTTCAGGCGCGGCCTCGAAGAGCCCGGCGAAGTAGGCCTCGCGTCGCCCTGCGCTCCGCCTCCATGCGCTGGCCTACAGATCTGGCAAGATCGGGGCCGGCGGCCGACCAGGGGGATCAGCTCTGCAGGATGGCCCGCAGCGGAAGGTCGCCCCCTCCTCGCAGCATCGCACCAAGGAGTGCTTCGCACTGTTCCCGGCAGCTGGCTTCGTCGGACACCTGGAGGACGTAGCCCTCAAACCACTGGGCGGCCCAGTCTCGCAGATCATGCCGCATGTCCTGGCAATCGCGCACGGCCCGGCCCCGCTCGGGCACCGCGGGCGGAGGGTGCCCCACGTCGGCAGGTGGTCGGTCGGCGCCGCGGTGATCCTGCACTGGGTTCTGCTTGGCAGCCAGCCAGCCCTTGTCTCCCTCCTGACGCGGCGGTCGCTGGCACCCTGGCAGCGCCTCCTCCAACGTCTCCTCAGCCTGCTCTGCCCGAGCCTGGCTTCGCGACCCACTTCCGTCTGGTAGCCCGCGTGGCCCTGGAAGCTGCGGGGAAGCTGGTCCAGCCTCGCCGTCGGCCATCGCGCGCCTCGCCGTCTTCCGCGGCAGCATCTCAGGAGTGGCCGCCCTTCTGCGCCCGCACGGTGCAACAGGTACTTGGCTCGGGTTGGTCTCCTCGTCGGCGGTGCCCTTACCTGTTGGGCGCGCGCCCTGTGGATGGTCCTCGCCCGTGCCACCGCGAACTGCTTGCCTGTGGAGTCCCCGATGTTTCCCCATGATCTGTTTGCCGCCCTTGCCCGCCGTCGCACTTCTAGTTTGGTGCCTCTGCCGTTCCGATGTCGGAGGTGGCCCGCCGGCGCCGGGGCCCCGTCGGGCCAAGACGATTTCCCTAGCTTTGGCGTCCTCGCTCCACGTAACCGGTCGAGCTTCGCGGTAGGTGTTTTCCATCCTCTGCACGGTTCCTTCAGCATCAGGATGCGGCAGCGGCCATCTGTCGCTGAGGATGCCATGGCACCGCGCGTCCAGCACCAGCAGCGGCCCTGCATATAGCTGAGGTTGCGCGAGATGCGCATGACCCCGTGCCGCAGCAGCTTGGCGCACTCGCCCTCGTCGGCGCGCGCGCGGCGTTGCCGTGCATGTTGGCCAGGGCAGGCATCGAGCTGCACGCGCGGCTCTGCATCCAATTTGCGAGGGAGAATTCGCCCGGGCCCTTGCCGCAACCGAGGCACACCCACTTGGCGTCGGAGCGCTTTGTGCACGCAGTGCCCTGTGGCCTCCTCTAGCTCTTTGCCGCGCTGGAACGACTGGCCATTCATTCCTGCGCGCCTGTCTCGCTGGAGACCGGGGGGGTCGACCCCCGCGACGCGCGCAATGGCCGCGCCGATGCGCTGGTGCATCCTGCGGAGCAGTCGTTCTCGTTCTGCGAGGACAGCTACCTGCGGGGCAATGAGGTTGGCCGCCATCTCTGCCCCTCTCTGGGCGCACGCGTCGGCGATCCCGTCGCCCCTGGTGGCGGCCATTGGCTCCTTGGTGCGCTGGATGGTGGGGATGCCTACGTGCGAGCAACGCCCGTGGACGTAGACGTCCTGAATGCCGCTATCCCTGGCCGCTATGGCAGCTCGGATCACCGCCCACCATCTTGCGAGGGGCCTCGCGGGCAACATGCAGTTGTAGCTGCGCCAGCCATTGGCGACCATCTGCGAGTCCGCGAAGATGGTGAGTGGCCCTCTGGCAAGTCGCACCGTCCAGTAAATGGCTGCAAGCCAGGCTGCACCGATGGTCTGCGCGCCATCGCGCATGCCGAAACAGCCAGGGTACGAGGCGCGTGGGCAGTAGCCGCTGCGCCCAGGTGGTAGCTCAAGTGCCACTCCCCATCCTGCCCTGGCCAACCGCTTGTCGCAGGTGGTGACCGAGCCATCGGTGAATGCCCTTGTGGCTGCGATAATGCCATTCGTCCAGTCGAGGTGCTCGCCGCCAACCGTCCATACGTCGTCATCGGTCAAACTGCCCCATGTTGGCGGGGGCCCCACTGGGCACATGGGCTTTGACAGTAGTCCTCGCACCGAAAATGCCATCTCCATGGGATCGTCTCTCACCGCAACCGCCCTGGCATACAAGTTGGCCGTGCGCTCGGTCCACGGGTGGTTTATGGCCTGGGTGGCGGGGCGCTCGTAGATGCGGTGCAGCGGGGCGTCGCCCGCGCCCATTCCGCAGCGTGTGCACGCAGGTAACGCCTTGCACCCCGCTGCGTAGCTCTTCTGGTTGGTCCATATCGCGGCGCATGCTGCTGTCTCCAGCGCCCCAGCCCTCAAGTGCCTCTCGAGCTTGCGGAAGTGGCGAGCACTGGCTTGGATTCCCCGGACGTCGGCTCCGTTTTGAAGGCAATTGTCCCTCGGGGTGTCTGCTGGCCTGCTTCCACAGGCAGGCCTCCGCAGCAACCTTGATGGCGTCCTCGAACTCGGTGAGGATGGCCAGTTCGTGGTTGCTGATATGCCACTGCTCGCCCAGGTGGTCAGTCCATAGGTCGATTTCGCTGGCCTCCCAACCTATGAGCTCCAGGGTCAGCTGGATGGCTGCCATGGGGCCTGTGGCTGCTTGCCACCGTCCCCTCTTGGTGACTTGTTGGCCAGGTGCCGCGCGACTGTTCCTTTGTCACAGGTTTCTACAAGCATGAATGTAAATTGCTGAAGTGCCCCATTGGAAGACAACCGTCTGAGAACCCTCAACCGTACCAGTGCACCACTCCTGGGACCTCACCGCCGCGAATCACCATGACTGCTGCATCGCGAATCAACGTAACTGTTGCGTCCTGACAGTGGCAGAACACCACTCCTGCGAACTCAACCATACGAACCTTCGACACTGCTGCAAACGTTCAACACGAATGCACGCGGCGCTGAAGCGAGAGCCACATGTTGAAAACGAGACGCCCTTCATGCTTGACACTGCTGCCAACTTTGAACACAAACGTACGGGTCGCTGAGGCGAGCCGCATGTTGAAAACGTGCCGCCCTCCATCCGTGAAACTGCTGCAAAATTTGAACACGAGTGCGCATGGCGCTAAAGCGAGAGCCGCAGTTTGAAAACGAATGCGACAGGAAGAGGGTTGTAGGAGGAGGAGGAGGAGGAGGAAGCCGGGACTGAGACTGACTACATCGATTGCCGAGGGAAACGCTCGCCACCACGGGCGCAAAGGGGGAGCGACCAACCCCCGCACCAGGCTCGTGCACAGGAGCAAAGAAGACCCAGCGCAGTGAGAGGGCAAGGCACCCCCCATCCCGCCCGCCCAGCTCGCAGCTCCTCGATGCTCGGAGGCCTTCCCGAGCAGCCAGCCGACCACGTCGAGGCGCCTTCCAGGACCCTTCCAGTGGATGACGCTATCTACTATCTAACGCTGGGCGTGCACGCTCGACGACCTCCTGCAGGAGAGGCACCCTGCCACCTTCGTCACCACCCCAGGCGAAGCTACCATCAGTCTGGCCTCGTGAGCAGCAGCGTTGACACGATCGCGCCGTCTGCCTGCGCAGACACGGCCGTCTCGAAGACCGCGGTCGTTGACGGTGTCGCAAACCGAGCTCCACCCAGTCGAGGCACGCTCATGCACTGCCGCGCCCGAGCACCGTGCGCCGCCCGAGCACGGCCTCGCAGGGCAGCGCGCCGCACGGCCTGCCAGGCAGGGCGACCCGCGAGCCCATACCAGGCGAAGCGCGGGGCCCGCCGCTCGAACAGCAGGCACCCCCCGAGCAGAGCGGACTCGCACTTCCATTGCGCTCGCGAGTTGCCTTGCAACCAACCCCTGTCCACCTGCGCACAGCTGGAGAACACCACGGACCTCGCCGCCTCTTGACCGTCCACCTCGAGAAGCATCACGACCACGAAGCCGACGCCCTCTGGAGAAGCCTGGCCCAGAATATCCCATCGCCGCGATGGCTCGGCCGAGCTGCGCCCCTTCGAAGTGCGCTCGGTCACCCCCGACCTCTCGGGGATGAAGGGCTAGGAGGAGGAGGATAAGAGGGGGAGGAGGAGGAGGAGGAGGAGGACAAGGAGGAGAGGGACAGAGGAGGGAAGAAAAGGAGGAGGAGGTGGAGGAGGAGGGAGTAGAAGGAGGAGGAGGAGGACGAGGAGGAGGATGAGGAGGAGGCCGAGGATGAGGACGAGGAGGAGACGGAGAGCAGGAAAAGGAGGAGGACCCTGAGATCCAGGCGTCGCACGTTTCGTCGCATCAAGAATTTCCGTCTGGACTCAGGCCCGGAAGCCCTCGCGGATGGATCTGGCTCCGACAAAGGTTGAGGAGGACGTAAGAGGAGAACGAGGAGAGAGAGGAGGAGGAGGAGGAGGAGGAGGAGGAGGAGGAGGAGGAGGAGGAGGAGGAGGAGGGGATCAGCATCAGCAGAAGCAGCAGGAGGAAGAGGAGCAGGAGGAGGGAGTGGAGGAGATACAGGAGGAGCTCGCTTCCCACAGAGACCTCTGGGGACCTCCGACAGGAGGGAGGAGCAGGAGGAGGAGGAATGGCAAGGGGGAGGAGGAGGAGGAGGAGGAGGAGGAGGAGGAGGAGGAGGAGGAGGAGGAGGAGAAGGAGGAGGAGGAGAGACGCAAGGAGGAGGAGGAGAAAGGAGCAAGCAGCCCTCAAGAGAACGGGCCCCGCGCGACGCCGCCCGACGACGACGACGACGACGCCGCCCGACGACGACGACGACGACGACGACGACGACGACGACGACGCCAACCGACGACGACGACGCCACCCGACGACGCCGACGACGCCGACGACGACGACGACGACGCCGACGACGGCGACCACGACGGCGCCGACGGCGCCGGCCTCAGGCGAAGCTGCTCGGGCGCCCCGAGGTCGGGCAGGGCGCCGTCGGCGGGCTCCGGGCCGCGCTCCCGCTGCACCTGCTCAGGGGGGCAGCGGGCCGCCTGGCGCCACCGGCGCCGGCCGCCGCCGCCGCGACACACCACGACGCACCACGACGACGAGAACGACGACGACGACGACGACGACGACAGCGACGACGGTGACGACGACGACGGCGGCGGCAGCGGCGGCGACGGCGGCCCGGCGGCCGAGGCGGCGTTCCGTCCCCGAACCGTGTGTGCACGGTCCCGGTGCCGGGCGAGGGCCCCCAGAGGCTCACTGCATCGAACTTGCTGACGTGCTGCAGCGGATTTCTGAACGGATTCCTGTCAACGCATAACACCGAAACGGCAAGCGAAAAACAAAGTGAATCTCACGGGGATGTTTGATAGTCTTCATTCCTGGCCAAAGAAGTCCACACGAAAGTCACTTCGAAATCCGAAACGAAATTGCTTTCCGAACGGAATCCGCTCTGCGATGTTGGCGTCATGAGGAGGCCGAAAATGGCCGAACGCCTCCCGTCGTGATTTCTGTCACGGCTCGGGCTCGGGGGCGTCCGTGAGGGGCAACGACAGGCGGGGACTGGCTCGCGGCGACAGGCGGCCAACAGCGAATGCGCACGTTCTTGGGCTGGGCTCGGAGCTGGCTGATGGGGGAAAAAGGAGGATTTCCTGGAGAGAGATAGAGTCAGGCCATGAGCTCGGGCGGAGGGAGGGCCAGAAGTTCGAGTTCGGAAACCAAGGAAAGGAAGAGCTCGAAAAAAGTTCAAGCCTTCAGGGGGAGTTCGAAAAAAGCGGAAAATATCTTAGCAGAGTTTGGAAGAGGATCAAGAACAAGTGTAGGGAAAGTTCGATCCAAGTGTCTAAATTCTGAAGAAGGTCAAAGAAAGTTTGGACAAAGTTCGGAAACAGTTCGAACACACATTCGGGAGTTCGCGAAAATACCACACGCGCGCTACGGATATTCGGACATTCTTGGCCGTCAAACTTTATCCAAACTGTTTCCAAGCTTCCGAATCCTAGCAACGTTGAAGTAGAACTTTGTAAAAGCATTGGCCTCGAAGTTTCCCCATAATTAGATCATTTCAACGAAAAGCCCGTTCGAACCTCCTCAGCCAATTACCAGGCTGGGTGGGCTATCGGGCCCCCATCAGCGATGAATGCGCGACAAGGGGTAGTACATGCTACCCCCCTGAGCCCATCCCCTTCGAACGTTGCGCTGGTGAGGACGACGACGACGACGAGAACGACGACGACGACGACGACGAGAACGACGACGACGACGACGACGGCGGCGACGCCGACGGCGGCGACGACGCCGGTGGCGGCAGCAGCAGCGCTGACGACGGCAGCGGCGACGACGAGTAGGGCAGCTCTTTTCTGCTCCGCGCGCCCCCCGCATGCAAGCCCAAACCGCCAGTCCGGGACTCCTCCCCGACGAGGACGTGAGCACACCGTGACCCCCGCACGCCTCGAGTAAAAGATCGACTACAGAAATGACTGACCCAACAATTGCAATGTTCGCCGGCTCTGCGACAAATACATAGATGTTTCGTAGGATTTACAAACAGTCTACGTATCTGCTGTACGTTCGACGGAACAATCGACGGCGGCGAGAGAGGGGTGGACGGTGAGAAGGAGAAGACCTTCTCAGAAGGCTCGGAAGTCCCCCGGCCTTCTGAGAAGTTTTCTAAGCCTTCCCCGAAGACGCAGAAGGCACTTCTCAGAAGGCGCGGGGGCTTCTGAGAAGGCCCGCCGCCTTCTGAGAAGGCCTTTTCCTGCTCACTGTTCCCCTCTCGCTCGCCGCCGACCACAAATGTATGTGCTGGAAATGCACGGCTTTCTCAGGGAATGAAGGGATTTCTGCATTCTGGGAGCCCTGTTGAGGGCCTCCTGGGCTGTCTAGGTGGCCTCTGGAGGCCATCTGGGTCCTTCTTGGAGCGCTCTTGTGCTGTCTTGGGTCTCTCTTCGGCCTCTCTGATCACCGCTCTGATCGCATGGGGCCTGCTGGAAGGACCCGGCTAAGCGCCCTGGGAGGTCCCGGACGAGCTGGGGGACCTTTGGCAAGGATGTCTGGGGGGGCCCAGTTGGAGTCCAATTTGGGAGGGGAGCGGGGGGGGGGTCCCCACCCACCCCGGCTTGCAAAAACTAAAGGATACACACATATCTATATATATATATATACATATATATATATATACATATATACATATATGTATAAGCATATGTGCATGTATGTCTGTATGGATGTATGCATACATGCATGTAGAGATGGATGGATGATTGGATGTAAGTATGTGTGTGTGGGTGTGGATGTCTGTATGTATGTATGTATGTATGTATGCATGCATGCATGCATGCATGCATGTATGTATGTATGTATGTATGTATGTATGATTGTTTGTGCATATGTGTACGTGTGTATGTGTGTATACATGCATGCATGCATGCATGCATGTATGTATGCGTGTATATGTGGATGCATGTGTGCATAAATGTATGTACGTATGTACGTATGCGTGTATGTATGTATGGATGTGTGTATGTATGTGTTTGCATGTATGTGTGTATGTATGTATAAATGTATGTATGTATGTATAAATGTATGTATGTATGTGTGTATGTATGTATGTATGTATGTATGTATGTACGTACGTATGTATGTATGTATGTATGTATGTATGTATGTATGTATGTATGTATGCTGTATGTATGTATGAAAGTATGGAAGTGTGTAGATGTGTATGTATGTATGTGTATGTATTGATGTGTGTGTGTGTGTGTGGATGTATGTATGTATGTATGTGTGTATGCGTGCATGCATGCATGTATGTATGTATGTATGTGTATATGTATGCATGCATGTATGTATGTATGTGTATACATGTATGTTTGTATGTATGTATGCATGCATGTATGTATGTATGTATGTACGTTTATGGTTGTGTGTATGTGTATGATTGTGTGTATGTACGCATACATGCATGCATGTGTGTATGTGTACGCGTGTAGGTATGTATGTTTGAATGCAAGCATGTATGTATGTGTGCATGCATCTATGCATGCATGCATGCACACATATGTAAGTTGTATGCACAAATACATACATATTTATATATATGTATGTCGTCGATATCCTGCTCGAACGCCGCAGGTCCCTTGCCGCCGCGCTCCCAGCCTCCGTTGAATTCGAGGCGCCCCGCCGCCGAGCCTCCCACGCGGACCAACGACCAACACGCACCCACACCCACGGGGAGGGACGGAGGTGGGCCGTGGGTGCGCGTATTGTCGGATGGGCAGGGGAGCCCAGAATCGAATCGATGAGTCGGATCGGCGTCGAAATGAATCGGATCGGCGGAGATCCGCAGCCGAGCCGGGAAAAGTCTGATCGGCAGGCATCGGCAAGCTAGTAGGCCTCCACTTTAAGGAATCGGAGTCCACATCGCAATCCGAAGCCGAATCGGATCGGAATCGGAAGCCATCGAAATCGAATCGGATCGAATCGGAGGAATCGAAATGAGCCCTGGACGGGGGTCCCCGCTCGAACGGGAGCCTCCCCCAGGGTCCGACAACCCGCACCCATACCCATAACCAGACATCCGCCGATGTGATTCTCGAATCCGCGGCCCCAGAGGCCCCGACCCATCCCACGGGGCTGGTTTTTCGTCCCGGATCCATTTTTGATGGTCGCCGGGCCCGTTAATGAGCTCCGGAGGCCGAAATCCAGGAGGAACCGCCGGATTGAAAAAAACAGATCTTCGGATCTCTGGGTAGCCACTCCTCCTACCTTGGACCCTCCTGTGTGTGTGTGTGTGTGAGTGTGCTGTTCGTCACCGCCAGTACGTCACCGCCGCGGCTTCCGAGGAGCCGCGCGCCGCCAACGGCCGTGCCGCGCGCCCACGGCGCCGCGGCGCCCGCCAGAGGCGGCCCGTGCCGCGCAGCCTGCCGCGGGGCGGGCGCGCCCGAGCGCCGCTTCGACGCCCTGCCATCCGCGGGCCCTGGCACGGTGCTGTGGCTCGGCCCGGGTGCTGCTGAAATCGGCGGCGGGCGAGGGGCGGAACAGTGAGAGGGAGAAGGCCCTCGCAAAGGGCGGCGGGGCTTCTCAGAAGCCCCCGCGCCTTCTGGCGAGAAGCGTCGGCCTGTCTTCGGGGAAGGCTCAGAGCACCTCTCAGACGGCCGGGGGACTTCCGAGACTTCTGAGAAGGCCCACCCCTTCTCGCTTCCCACCTCGCTCGCCGCCGATAGAAGTGCCCCTGGCTCAAGGTGCCCCCAGGATTCCCAGGGAGGCCCCCATGGCCTCCAGAGCACCCCATCACGCTGCCCAGAGTGCCCCGAGGGGTCCAAGATGGACCGAACAGCAAGGGGCACCTTGGGTCAGGGGCACCCTTAGCAACCCCCGAACAGCCCTGGGCCCAGGATCCCTTATAGTTTCCTATATTTTCTCAACTTTCGTCTTCCCCCCCACTTCCCATATTCTCCCATCTTCTCTTGGGAATCGACGAGTGCCTTTGCCGGTGTGTTGCTTCCCCCCCTGGCCGATGTGGCTGAGAGCGGCGGATATCTTTCTTCCTGTGGCAACTCGAAAAGAAGAGAGAACGGCATAACACACAAACTTCGACGGTCCGCGCGGATATTTCTGGGATCCGCGCTGGGCCCCCCTCCCTGGCGCGCGGCGCGCCAGGGCCTGCGCCGGAGGCGCCGCCACGGGCACCGCCAGGGGGGCCAGAGCAGATCCAAGAAGTCCGCGCGGAGCGTCGAGAGTGCAGGCGTGTGCCGTTCTTCATCTTCAAAACTCACGGGTGCCTCCCATACCCTCTTGCTGCCTCCTGCGAGTCGACGCTAGCCGACGCCAAATCGACGCTGCATCGACGCTAATCGACGCTGCAGTCAACCCGTATAATCAGGACGCGCGATACGGATGCAAGGGCCTTGAAAGGCCGTGCCGACACTTCGCGAGCGGGGCGCGGCCAGCGAAAGCGGCCAAGGATGGGCCGAAGGGCAAGGATGCAAGGGCAACCTTGGAAAACCGATCATCCTCACCATGCGGGTTGGCTGCAAATCGACGCGAACTCATCGACTACCAGGCATTGATCGACGCGAATGGTTCTATGAATACATATATATATGAACATATATATATGTGTATGTATGTACATATATATGTATATATATACATATATATATATATGTATACAAATATTTATGTGCATGTACATACAATGCCCCCCCCCAACAACAAAAACTAATTACGAGGGCTCCCATGCTTTGCTACCGAAGCACGGCGCGCGCGCCCTTCCAGCCAAGGCCGGGAAGGCCTGCGCACAGCCGGACCTTCGGGAAGAGGCCTCGACCTCATCCCTGGGGCTGGCGCCCCCGGGGGCCCGAGAGCGCCCCACCCCCCCTGGACCCCAGGAGGCCGAAGGAACAGAGCGCCCGAGTCGGGAGACAGAGTCACCCCGGCAGGGCACCCATCAATAGCAGCGAGGGTGGAGAGGCGGGTCGAGGAGTGGGAGGTCCAGATTCGGCCATGTGCACCTTCGTGTGTGTTTGACAAGGGTCGGGGCTGTCCGCACCAAACATGTAGCTGGTAGCTGGCACTGAGGCGAGAGCACCTGGATACTTTGCGAGGAAGACTCAAGTGAAACGTCTGCCGCTCGGCCGCCGGACGGCTGCCCGTCTGGGCGGTCTCGGACTCCCCGAGCCCTCTGTTGGACTCTTCTGTGGTGTCTCTGCCTTTAACAGAACCCTCGAGCGAAGCGCCGTTGGGGAAAAGCGCAGCCCGCCAGAAGTCTAAGCACCGTCCTGGGGGCCCAGGGTGGCCGTGGTGGACGGGTGCCGTGGTGCACGGACCCGTCCTCTGAAAGCCCCTGGGGGGCGGGCTGCAGGAGCGCGCCCTCCCCGCCCCCCCCTCCACCCGCACTCCCCCCCCACGTAATGCTACGCCATGCTACGACATCCGACTGCGCGAACAGAGAGATCTACGCTAATGGCGTAGATCTCCTCTCTGTTCGCCAGTCGGATGGTAGGGATGGGAGGGAGGGAAAGGATGTAACGCCATGGCAAGGGATGGGAGGGAGGGGCAGGACGTCAGATAAGGCGCTTCCGCACCTAGCTTGCCTCCTTCCCCTCCCACCCCCCCACGGGCCCCCTGGCCACGTCGCGGTTCGCGCCAGCACCACCTGGAAACAGGCCAGTCCAAGGCATTCTCGGACCGCGCCGGCGCGAACCGCGACGTGAACGGCCCCCGATCGGCCCCCCCCCCTTCCCCACCCCACTGGTCACTGATCACACCCGTCACCCAGAGATCCGACGAGATGATCTTTTCCGTCCGGCGGTTTCTCCTGGTTTTCGGCCTCCGGGGCCCGTTATCGAGCCCGGGGACCATCAAAGATGGACCCGGGACGAAAAAACACCCCTGGGGAAGGGGTCGAGACCTCTGGGGCCGCGGGTTGACAAAATGACATCGGCGGATGTCTGGGGTCTGTTGGAGGTCCTCGGTCGTTTGTGAACGGTTTCCGACGTTCTGGGCGCTCCAGTGGTCTCCCTGGGGGCTCTGGGGGGCAGGACGAGTTGCATCACTTTTGAAAAGGGGGACAGTCTTGCTTCGGGGTTTCCCTTCGGCGGCGAGCGAAGAGGGGGAATAAGAAGGAGAAGGCCTTCTCAGGTGGCGGGACTTCTCAGAAGCCCTCGCGCCTTCTGAGAAGCTTTCTTCTGTCTCTGGTGAAGGATAAGAAAACTTCTCAGAAGGCCGGGGGACTTCCGAGCCTTCTGAGAAGGCCTTCTCCTTCTCGCTCGCCGCCGGCCCCTCTCGGGCGTGGACTAACCCGGTTCAGCGCAAACCTGGCTCGACCAATTCAGAAAAACTGCGCTGCAATTCTGGGGGGGATCCCCAAGCCCAGCTCAGCCAAGATGTGAGACGACCCCTGGGGCCGCGAGCGTCTCCCAAATCCAGCTCGGCCGAAATCTGGCTGCGCAGGATCCGGCGCGCGGGCCGAGCCCCGTGTGCGCTGAACCCCACTGCCTGCTAGCCCACCCCCCCACTCGAAGGCCCGGCTCCTCACCAGACGCGGGGAACCGCCTCCGTGCTGATCCTGCCTGGGTTGCCCGTCCCCTCCGGCCGCCTCCCGCAGCCGCGGCCCGCCTGCGGCTGCCAAGAGGGCGCCGCCTCCAAGCGGGGAGGCGGCATGTGCGGCGTCCTACCAGCCCACCCCAACCCAACCCGAAGACCCCCATTTGACCCCAATTTCGGAGTGGGGGGGGGTACGGGTTCCATCTGTTTTCTCCATGTTCCCCGCCCCCCCCACTGGAAATGGAAGGCACATTGAGGCCTTCGGGTTGGGTTGGGGTGGTTTGGTGGGCGGTGTTGTGCGGTGTCCTGCCGCTCGCGCGAGAGCCCATAAGGTACACCAGCCAGCATAGCGAGCTGCTGCACGGCTGCGATCAGTCTGCGGTGCCGCCCCTGCCTTTGCACCGAGAGTGCCCGCGGCTCGCGCAGGAAAAAAGGCGGCACTCGCCCCCCGCCACGCCTCACGAGCCTGCGGCACCCGGGGTCCGGGGCTGCGAGGCCGGCGTCTGCGGCTGCGAGGGGCCCAGGGCCGCGGCGCCGGGCGCCGCCCGCGCCCGCCCGAAGATGCAGGCGGAGACCCGCTCGTGGCCCATCGACTGCGCCAGGGACGCCGCCAGAGCCTGCTCGGCCTCCTCGTAGCGCGCCCGCCAGGCGCGCACCTCGGCCTCCGCGCCCTCCTCCAGGGCCTCCACCCGCCGAGCGCCGGCCTCCTCGGCCGCCGCCGCGGCACTCTCGAGCTCCCGAGTGCGAGCCACGCTGGCCGCCTCCTCGCGCTCCGCTGCCCGGGCCCTGTCCTCCGCCGCTCGCACCTGGCGGTCCGCCAGGGCAAGCGCGGCGCTCACCTCTTCCTCGCTGGCAGCGCGCAGGGAAGCCAGTCGCGCTGCCAGGCGCGCAGCGGCGCGCTCGCTGTCGGCCTCGACCTGGGCAGCAGCTGCTCTCTCTGCATCGGCTTCCCGGTTCCAAATCTGCGCACGCTGGTCGGCGGCCGCTGTCTCGGCGAGCACAGCCTCGAGCTGGTCCATGGAGGCAGCATGAGCGGCCTGCTGGTGAGCCACCTCTGCACGCACAGCATCCATGCTGGCCGCCTCCTCTGTCTCAGCTGCTGCCAAGCGCGTTCGAGCCGCCAGCAGCTCCTGGTCCAGAGAATCCTGCACCTGCTTTTCCGATTCTTCAGCCTCTTCTCGGATGGATGTGATCTTCTCCTCAGCCGCAAGCAGAGCTACCTCCATGCTGCTTTCACATGACGTCGCCGCCCTCGTGGCAGCCGCCACACGAGCTTCCGCTGATTGCACCCGTCGAGCGCAGATCTGCTCTTCAGCCTCAACTGAAACTATGGCGTTCAGTTTCGTGGACGCCACCTCCTCCGCGGCCTCAGCTGCAGCTGCGGAGGTTTGGTCTGCAATCTCGTCCATGGTTCGCTTGATCGCGGCCCCACGCAAGATGCATGCTCGAACGTGCTGAGCAGTTTGGCTCCGAAGATCCCTGATGGCCAGCTCTGCGTTCCTCTTCGACGCTGCCGCACGGTCGCTGGCCAGCTCTGCCTCCGCCTCCAGCCGTGAAGCCTCTGCAGCCTGGGCCTCAGCAATGGCCTCCAGTGGTTGGAGCGAGCGGCGACGATCCAAGCGAATGGATGCCAATACTGATGCTCTCCACTGCGACGCGGTCACGGCGCGTTCGCTTGCTGCAGCAAGGGCGCACGTCTTGGCCGCTTCCATCTCGGTGACCTCTTCAACATGCACTCTCTCCGCTTCTTCGGAACGGCTCTCTATATGCGAGAACCTTTGAATCTCTGACTCCTCGGCCTCCTCCTGTTCCGCAAGCCCCGCCTGGTCTTCAGCTATTATGCTGGCCTCGAACATCTCCATCTCCTCTTGCCTGTATGCTAAGAGCGCAGCAAGCCGAACACTGGCCGCTTCCTCGCGCTCACTCGCCTCGTGAATTAATTCAGAAGTTGACGCCTCTATTTCTTTGATTGACTCTGCAGCCGCATGCAAGGTGTTAGCAGCATTCTCCCCCAGCTGCTCCTTATGAGCCACGAGCGCGCTGACTTCCTCCCTAGCTTGGGCCATCTCCGAGGCCAAGAGTATCGCACTCCTGCTCCTGACTTCCAGCTCAAAGCGACGTGAAGACTCGACCTCCTCGGCCTGAGCTGACTCGGCAGCAGCTACCCGAGCAAGCGCAGCTTTCCGGGAAGCTTCTGCATCGGCGACCTCGGCCTGTATCTCGGACACGACACCCTCGCGCAGCCTCACTGCAGCCCTCACCTCTGCCTGGACACCTGCACTCGCCTCGGCCGCGAGGCGCGACGTGCCTGCCTGCCGGAGCTCCTGCGGGCTCCCCTCGGACTGCTCTGCTCCTCAGGGGCCTCCCGGATGGGCTTGGAGCAGACGGCGTCGGAGGATCGCGCCGCACCGGCGATGCATCACCGATGTATCGGCGATGCGTCGGCGACTTCGGCTCGGAGAAACTCGGGGCCCACATCGAGGCGCATCGCCGATACATCGAGGATGCGGCGCGATCCCCCGACCCCGTCTACTCTGACCCCATCTGGGAGGCCTACATCTCCTGAGCGACCAAGCACCGACAGCGCGTGGGACAGCGCATCGAGGCGGTGGTCGGCGGCCACCTCCGCGACGGCCATCTCGCTGGCCGCCTCGCGCTCCGCCCTGGCCGCCCGCGCCTCGGCCACCTCCAGATCCCTCGCGGCCCTGGTCATGCCCTCCGCCTCCAGCTGCCGGGCAAAGCTGCGCCTCTGGTCGGCGGCGCGGCGAGCCTCCTCCACGTGCCCCTGAAGGGACGCGATCGCCTCGCGGGCCTGGCGCTCGATGTGCGCCGACTGCTCCGCCTCGGCCACACGCGCGAGCCGCACCGCCTCCGCGGCCCGCTCGCTGGCCGCCAGCGCCCGCAGCGCGGCCCCGCGCTCGCTCTGCCGCGCGCGCTGGGCGAGCTCCGCCGCGCCCAGCTCGGCGGCGGCCAGCCCCCGGCTCTGCCGGCGCGCCTCCTCCAGCACGCCCCTCTCCGTGGCGGCCTCCAGGTCGCGGGCCCCCCTGCCCCACGCCCCGCGCGCCGCCTCCTGGAGAGCCTGCCGCCTGCGGCCGTGGAGCTCGCGGACGTTCCGCAGCGAGCCCGTCAGGGCCTGCTCCACGTCCACCGCCCGGCTCCAGGCGGCGTGGTGCGGCCCGACGGGCGCCCGCGACGAGTCGCCGGCCGGTGTGCCCTGCGGGCTGCGGCCCTCGCGATCGGGCGCCGCCGAGGCCGTCAGGGCCAGGGAGGGCCGCTGCGACGCCGCTGGCGTGGCGGGGGGGCGCCCGCTGCCGAGGCGGCCGCTGCCGCCGCAGGTGCCCTCCATGGCGCGCCCCAGCTGCCCAGGCTCGGGGCTTGCGCGGCCGCGCCCGGAGGGCGTGCGCCACGCGTGCTGGCTCGCCAGCTGCTCCTGGCAGGCGCAGCAGACGTCGAAGTCGCACGCGCGGCACCCCCACATGCTGGAGCCGTCGGGCTTGGGCTGCCCGTCCGCACACCCGTCGCACGTGTGGGTGCCCTTGCCGGCGAGGAAGTGCTTCAGTCGGTGGCCCAGCGGGCACTCGGCGCGCGTCCGCAGCGGCTGCGGCGAGGAGTCCAGGTCCATGTCGTCTGGCGAGCCCTGCGGGCAGGAAGGGCACGGGCCTGCACGTGTACAACCGCCACGCGCTTGCGCTCGAGCCTGGTGGCGTCGCCGCGGCCAGGAGTCACAGCGTCTGGGCACACGCCTCGAGAGCCCGTAGGAGTGAGCGGCTTGGGGGTCACAAAGCAGTGTAGTGACAGGCCTTGCGGTGACCTCCGAATGGCCAGCAACCTCGCCGCACGGTCCGTGACTGCACGGTTTTGGGACCTCGGAGGCCCAAAATGCCCGAGACTTCCTCGAAGAACGACCCAAGTCCAAAAACCGTGCGGCGGCTAAGGGAAACAACTAGTGGACACTCCCCATCCCCCAAACTCACAAAGTTGGCACGCGCGGAGGAGACTGCGGTCGAAGCGCAACTCATCAGACCCACCGCCAACCTTGAACACTGCGCGGAGGCGGAGGCGTTGACCGACGAATGTGGAGCGAGCGCTCGCTATTTCTAGTAAGCACGTGCGGAGGAGACTGCGGTCCAAGTGCAGCTCATCAGACCCACCGCAAACTTTGAACACTGGGCGGAGGCGAAGGCGCTGACCGACGAATGTGGCGTGAGCGCTCGCTATTTTTAGTAAGCACGTGCGGAGGAGACTGCGGTCGAAGTGCAGCTCATCAGACCCACCGCCAACTTTGAACACCGGGCGGAGGCGGAGGCGTTGACCGACGAATGTGGCCCGAGCGCTCGCTATTTTCAGGAAGCACGTGCGGAGGAGACTGCGGTCGAGGTGCAGCTCATCAGACCCACCGCGAACCTTGAACACTGCGCGGAGGCGGAGGCGTTGACCCTATTTTCAGTAAGCACGTGCGGAGGAGACTGCGGTCCAAGTGCAACTCATCAGACCCACCGCAAACTTAGAACACTGGGCGGAGGCCGAGGCGGTGGCCAGCGCTCGCTACGTTTTTCCGAGGCCTGGGCCAATCCCCACTGACCCACCACAGGGTGTGGTCTTGCCGCGCGGCTTTGGGGGCGCCTCCGAGCGGCGGCCTCTGGGCATCGCAAGGGACGCCCCCGGGGGGGGGGGGGGGGCGGCAAGGAGCTCAGGGGAGCCGAGGTCGGCTCTGCAATTCCTCCTCCTCCTCCTCCTCCTCCTCCTCCTCCTCCTCCTCCTCCTCCTCCTCCTCCTCCTCCTCCCTCCTCCTCCCTCCTCCTCCCTGCTCCTCCTCCGCCTCCTCCACAACGGGCGTTTTCTCTCGGGCCTCGGGCCTCGGGGCCCTCACGGCCCGATCAGGCTCCGAGACTGACGCAGCAAGATGGGGTCCGGGGCTCCCGTCGCGATTGCTTGCAGCGTTGCATTCTTGTTCGCGACGTCGGATCACAGGGGCCGCAGAACTGCCCGACCCGGCGCGCAAACTCTCGGGGCGCTGGCATCGGCGCAACGGGGGTGGTGCAGCCTCGAGCTGGCCGCGAGGTGGCTCCGCAGTGTGGTGGTGGGATAGCCGCGAGGCGAGTCGTCAGGCGGGCAGGTCGGGGGCCACGAGGAGCGCAGCAGGTTCACGCAGCGATGGAGTCGGCGTCGGGTTGCTGACACCGCGCGCATCGTGCAGCCTCGAACGATCGCGGCCTTCCGATAAAGTTGGTTCGACATCGGCCGGTTCGAGGCCACTGGCGGCGTTCAGCCTTGAACGCCCGCGACGGGTCGCCGCGATCTCAACACGGCGCGAACATGCCGCATACGAGGAAGCGTGGGCTGACCATGCGACAGCGCTGTCTCGTTCTCGCCGCGAAGGCCAGCTACGAACTCCTCCTCCTCCTCCTCCTCCTCCTCCTCCTCCTCCTGCTCCTGCTCCTGCTCCTCCTCCTCCTCCTCCTCCTCCTCCTCCTCCTCCTCCTCCTCCTCCTCCTGGCCTCTCGGAACCGTGGTGGAGCCACGGAGACATGAGCAAAACCAGTCGCGCCTTTTCTCACGATAGCATACGTTTTGAAGCCGCATCTAAGAGTAGCCAGACAGGACTTGAAAGGACTGCCCTGGTCGAATGTGGCCTGGTGGTAATGGCGTTTGGATGGAGAGCGGATGAATTTCAAAATACGGATACCGCCTAAACCGTCGTGGCATTTATCAGCACAAAGCTCGAATCATCAAACAATACCACAGATCGAACCATCCATCGAACCGTCCAACAAACATGGCAATCGCCCGATATCATGAGCCGAACGATTCGCTTAAGCATCCAACGGCTACGCTGACGGAGGCCAGTTAGTTCTCAAAAACGTGAGCTCGCCGTGGCGCCGCGCAGAATTCTTCAAAGCTGCTACCACCTGCGCACAACGAGAGCGCAACTGCTTCTCAAGATCACATCGCTCAGACACGCTATGCGGCCGAATCTTGGTCGGACCGCTCGATGCGGTCTGTGCACCATGGCAGTACAGCTACGGTCAAGACCTGTTTGCTCAAGGCGTCGCGTCGGCGCTGGCGGCGAAACGCTGTGCAGGCTGACAGCGCGTCGCGCCGCGCCGCGGGGCGGGGAAAATGCTCAGGGCCTTGACGCTCCTCCTCCTCCTCCTCCTCCTCCTCCTCCTCCTCCTCCTCCTCCTCCTCCTCCTCCTCCTCCTCCTCCTCCTCCTCCTCCCAGGGACGCGGTTAGCTCGTCACGCCGATGCGTGGTGGGCCAGAACCAGCGTCGCGCCCCTGAGATCCGACGTTGCGAAAAAGATGCAACATCGCTAGAACACTCCACCGAAGCCCTGGACCCCATCTTTCTGCTGCATGTTTCGAGCCAGATCGATCCGTGAATGTCCCGGGGCCCGAAGGAAGGCAAGATCGCCGCTGCGGGAAAAATTGCGACGCCAGGATCTCGGGGACAGGGCTGTGACCCCTTGTGAGGACCTGGCCTGGCTTCGCAACGCCGGAACTCAGGGCCCACGGAGGCGTGAAAGGGGCATGAACTGCAACGGTGCTGGCACGAAGCTCAGCATCGGCGCACAGTTCTTGAAGAGGCTTCTTTCAACCGCTCCGAGGCGGTGACTCCAGGAGGGAAGAGGAGGCAGAGGAGCGGGGAAGGAAGGGGGCCTCAAGGGGGGGGGAGGCGGGGGAAAGCAAACAGCATACAAAACTACAAGCAACAAAAACTCGATACCCCTCCTCCTCCTCCTCCTCCCTCCTCCTCCTCCTCCTCATCCTCCTCTCCTCCTTCACATCTTCCTCCTCCCGCCTCCCTCTACGGCATCTCCCTGCTCCTGCACCTCCACCTCGGCTTTCTCCCATTGATGCTGATTCCGCGCCAGCTGATAGTGTCGTGGACTCTGGCCTCCTCCGAAGCCAGCGCGGCGAGGCCGAGCCTGGCTCCAGTCCGAAGCGAGTTCGCAGCGCTCGCATTATATCTGTAGTCGGGCATGTCCCCCTGCAGGCGGGTCTTGGACGAAAAGCATGAAAAATAGTCTCGCGCACACACACACACACACGAACAAACAAAAAAACGAAAGAAATCGTCCCCAGACTATTCCGACTATTTTTCCCAACCATTCTGTGGTGTTGGGTCCTCGCTTTGAAGAGACAGCGCCCCGCGTCCCACCTCATTCCTCCTTCCTTCCTCCTCCCCGCCCCTCTCTCTCCCCCTCCTTGCCTTTGCTCTCCGCACTCCATCATCATCATCATCATCCTCATCATCATCATCATTCCTTCATCATATTCATCATCATCCCATCTCATCATCATCATCATCAATCTCATCTCATCATCATCATCATTCATCACATCATTCATCACCCCCCTTCCCCCCCATCGTCACCAATCATCACCATCACCCATCATCCATCAGCATCATCATATGCAGCATCATCCTCATCCACATCCTCCTCATCATCATCGTCATCATCATCGTCCCCACCGCCCATGTCGTCACACCCCTCACACGGTTCGAGGCCCCATAGGGAGCTCCACCGAAGGCCCCAGTGGGGGTGTGATTCACATTGAGTCTCCCCAACCAGGGCAGCGTTTCGTGGCCCCCATAGGGAGCTCCACCGAAAGGCCCCAGTTGGGGGTGCCCGCATGCGGTTCCCCACCCAGGGCAGCGCTTAGTGGCCCCCTAGGGGGCTCCACCGTTGGGCCCCAGTGGGTGTGCCCGCATTGCGGTTCCCCACCCAGGCAGGGTTTCGTGGCCACATAGGGAGCTCCACCGAAGGCCCCAGTGGGGGTGCCGCATGCGGTTCCCCCACCCAGGGCAGCGTTTCGTAGCAATAGGGAGCTCCACCGAAGGCCCCAGTGGAGCTCCACCATGCTCCACCGTAGGCCCCAGTGGGGGTGCCCGCATGCGGTTCCCCCACCCAGGGCAGCGCTTCGTGGCCCCATAGGGAGCTCCACCGAAGGCCCCAGTGGGGGTGCCCGCATGCGGTTCCCCCACCCAGGGCAGCGCTTCGTGGCCCCATAGGAAGCCCCACCTTAGGCCCCAGCGGGGGTGCCCGCATGCGGTTCCCCCACCCAGGGCAACGTTTCGTGGCCCCACAGGGAGCTCCACCGTAGGCCCCAGTGGGGGTGCCCGCATGCGGTTCCCCCACCCAGGGCAGCGCTTCGTGGCCCCATAGGGAGCTCCACCGCAGGCCCCAGCAGGGGTGCCCGCATGCGGTTCCCCACCACCACCACCACTGTGGCAGGCCCCTCACGCAGTTCGTGGCCCCATACGGAGCTCCACCGAGGACGATATTCACAACTGCGGTACTCACAGCTGCATATGGTTGTGTCCTTCGCCAGGCTAATTCCCCATATCCTAATATGGTTCTTCTTATTTCTTGGACGCCGCCGACTTCTCCTCCTTCTCTTTCTCCTCCCCTCTCCTCCTCATACCCAGACTTACTCATACACAGACTGACTCACACTCAGACTTACTCATACCCAGACTTACTCTCACACACCAAACTACTCATACTCAGACCTACTCATACTCAGACCTACTCCTACTCAGACTTACTCATGCTGAGACTCACGCGCGCCCCGTTCGCTGCCGTTTTGTGGGGATACCTCAAGCGGTTTGCCTGTTTTCTGTCCCAAATCCTTCGCTTTCGGAGCAGATTTGGAGGACGTCTCGAGCGAGGCGCCCATTTGCACCCCCTAAGGGGAGCAGCCAGGGGTTATCTCACGTTCCCGTTCGCGGCCGTTTTGTGGGGATGTCTCAAGCGGTTTGACTGTTTTCTGTCCCAACATCCTTTGCTTTCGGAGCATATGTGGAGGATGTCTCGAGCGAGGCGCTCATTTTCACCCCCCTAAGGGGAGCCGCCGAGAGGTTATCTCACGGTCCCGTTCGCGGCCGATTTGTGGGGATGCCTCAATCGGTTTGCCTGTTTTCTGTCCCAACATCATTTGCTGTCGGAGCAGAAAAGGAGGATGTCTCGAGCGAGGCGCTCACTTTCACCCCCCTAAGGGGAGGAGCCAGGGGTTATCTCACGTTCCCGTTCGCGGCCATTTTGTGGGAATGTCTCAAGCGGTTTGCCTGTTTTCTGTCCCAACATCCTTCGCTTTCGGAGCAGATTTGGAGGATGTCTCGAGCGAGGCGCTCATTTTCACCCCCCTAAGGGGAGCCGCCAGGGGATATCTCACGGTCCCGTTCGCGGCCGATTTGTGGGGATGCCTCAATCGGTTTGCCTGTTTTCTGTCCCAACATCCTTTGCTGTCGGAGCAGAAAAGGAGGATGTCTCGAGCGAGGCGCTCACTTTCACCCCCCTAAGGGGAGCCGCCAAGGGTTATCTCACGGTCCCGTTCGCGGCCGTTTTGTGGGGATGCCTCAAGCGGTTTGACTATTTTCTGTCCCATCATCCTTCGCTTTCGGAGCAGATTGGAGGATGTCTCGAGCGAGGCGCCCATTTTCACCCCCCAGGTGGACCAGATTTTGAGGATGTCTTGATCGGTGGCCAGACTCGTTGGCACAGATTCTCGCCAGGATGCCACAAGAGGCTCCAACAGGCTCTAAGAGGCCCCAGGAGACCACATGAGGTCCCAGGAGGCACCAGGAGGCCACAGAAAGACTCAAGAGGCCACAGGATGTCCCAAGAGGCTCTAGGAGGCCCCAGGAAGCTCCGGGAGGCTTCAGGAAGCCACAGGAGGCCCCAGGAGGCCAGAGGAAGCGCCAGGAGGTCTCGGAAGGCAACAGGAGGCCCCGAGAGGCCCCAGGAGCAGGAGGCCTCAGAAGGCAACAGGAGTGGCTCCAATCCCATTTGTTTTACGTATGCTCCTATAGATTGGGCCTCACCTGAAGCACGAATCCTTGATGTTATACGTATGTTTATATAGATTGTCCTTCTCCTGAATACTTATGTTCCTATAGGGCCTCTCCTGGGGCACGAGTCCTTGGTGTTTTACGCGTGTTCCTATAGATTGCCCCCTTCTCCTGTGGCTCCAATCCGCAATATTTTACGTACGTATATTCCTATAGATTGAGCCTCTCGTGGGGCACGAATCCTCCCTAGGAGGTCCCAGGAGGCCCCAGGAGGCCCCAAGAAGCTCCTGGAGGCCCCAGGAAGCCCCAGTAGGTTTCAGGAGGCCCCAGGAGGCCCCAGGAGGACCCAGGCTCATGCGCAGAGACGCGCTCGTACTACTGAGGCTCATTCATACTCCAATTCATCCTCAGTTAGATTCATGACCAGACCGTCACAACTGAAGCCCGTTTATATTCGAAAGCTCTTGCGCCTAGACATTCACGGCGGACAGGTCCATGCGAATAGATGCACATATGGGGAGCTCCACGCAGTGAACAATTTACTTTTTTTGAGCATGCCTCCTGTAGAGGGGCACGCCCGACTCAAATTCTACCTTCGGTCGGGCTGCTGACTTCACTGCGCCTGACCTTCGCGTCCCACTGCCGCGGCCGCCGCTGCCGCTCTGCCGCCGCGCCGCCCGTGGTGTGCCCTCCCCGCGGCCTCGGCGCCTGCGGCCGAACAGCACACGCCTCTGCCGCCACAGGAGGCGTGTTGCGCGCCGCCTTTCCTGGCCAGGATAGAGGGCAGAAGATCCACCCCGATCATGAGCAACCCGACACGCGAAGCCCTTTCGTAAACGCACCCAAGGCAGGAATCAAGCAGGGCAGGGCTGTTTCGTGAACGCCCAGGGCCGTTTAAGAAACGCCGATTGTCTGGTCCTGGTGGTTTTTCCTCCCGCGACCTTCTGTCCAGGACGCGCCCTGCCTCGGAGCGCGTGCCGCCCTCCCTGACTGTGGAGAGCGGCATATATATATACACTTACATATATATATATATATATACATACATACATACATACATATACACATATAAATATATCACTCGTGCTTCCGCGCAGCACAGCGTCCAAAGACTTACTGCACAGCCTTGTGAGTTGAAAGGAAGAGCGCCCTCGCAGCGCGGGCACGGTCCTCGGCCGCTTCAGGTAGCGACAGCAACAACAACAGCAACAACAACAACAACAACAAAAACAACAACAACAACAACAACAACAACAACAACAACAACAACAACAACAACAACCACAACCACAACCACAACCACAACAACAACAACAACAACAGCAACAGCAACAGCAACAGCAACAGCAGCAGCAACAGCAACAGCAACAGCAACAGCAACAGCAATCACAAAGAGTGATCCGCGCGCTGGAGGCGCCGACGACACAAGGCGCCGCCTGTGGTGTGATGAGGGGCTTCCGGCGCCGACCCCAGAAAGATCCGCGGGGAACCTCCGTTTGCGAGGACCGCCCCCCCCCCATGGGTCTCGAGACGTCCCTGGAGCCGCCCTGCTCCCTCCGAGCCGTGCGAGACAGCCCCTTCTAGGGTCCAATATGAGGGCCTCCAGAACCCTAGAAAATGTTAAAGGCCCGTCCGTCGTGTTTTTGTCACGAGGCCATGGGGTCTGGGTTCGGATCGGCGGCGCGCAGAGGGGGGTAGCGGGAGGGGGGGGGAAGGCTTCTTAGAAGCACCCCTGCCTCTTAGAAGGAAGGTGCGGGCCTTGTCTGTAGATGTAGGGGCAGGCGCCTTCTAAGAAGCGGCCTCCTTCTACGAAGCCTTTCCCCCCTCCCCCTACCCCCGTCACTCTGCGCGCAGCCAATCGGAGGGGCTCAGAAATCGGCCCCTGGGCCAGTTCCATGGGCGCGCCCGGGCCCGAACTCAAAAAGGAACCCCCCGCCGCGGCGGCGCAGGGGCCTCCCAGAGGCCTAAGAAGAGCAAAACAAACTCGGCGGCGAGCTAGGGGGGAAGTAAAAGTAAGAAGGAGAAGGCCCTCTCAGGACGCGGCGGGCTTCTCAGAAACCCTCCGGTCTTATGAGAAGTTGTTTTAGTGTTTTCAGGGAAGGCTTAGAAAACATCTCAGAAGGCATGGGGACCTCCGAGCCTGCTGAGAAGGCCCGCCCCTTATCTCTTCCCCCCTGGGCCCGCCGCCGAAAAAAAGCGGCAGGAGCATCAACTGTCGGAGCTCTGCGCGGAGCTCCGACATGACATGGTCGTGCAGCTTTACTGCCTCGAAACCCTCCTTCGAGCCGCGGCGCAAGCCAAGACCATCTCCGCTGAAAGAGCAGGGGGTGGCCGCCTTCGCGTCGGGCCACCGGGACATCTCGTGCAGGCGGTGGTGGCTCCCCGGCCACACGCACAGGTTGCCCTGATCGCCTCGAATCGTCGCGTCCGTCGTGCTTGTCGGCCGTCGTCCGTCGTCGTCCGTCGTCCGTGGTCGTCGTCCGTCGTCGTCGCCGTGGACCGTCGTCCCTCCTCCGTCGTCCATCGTCCGTCGTCCGTCGTCCGTCGTCCGTCGTCCGTCGTCAACCGTCGTCGTCGTGGTCGTCGTCCGTCGTCGTCGTCGTCGTTGCGTCCGTGTTTTTTCGTCGGTCGTCCATCTGCCTTGTCCGTCGTCCGCCGTCCGTCGTCTCTCGCCCGTTGTCCGCACTTGCAGCGCGTTCGGCTGCCGCTGGAACCATGCGGGCAATCGACGGGATCAGAGCTTTCCAAGACACACAGCGAGCGAAGGCGACGCCAAAACCCGCCACCTCTCCCCCTGGCACGTCGAGGCATGGTAGCATGCCGAGAGCTGCAGGGCAGAGTTCCGGTTGGTCTTCTGCGGGGCCCATCCCCCCCTCTCCCCACGTCCACCTGCGCGCATGGGCCCCATCTCCCGAGGTTTCCTGGGCGGCCCCTCGCCTCCCTGGGGCTCTCCAAGGCACTCCGAGTCTTTCAAGACGGCCCAGGAAGACCACCAAGGCCGCCAAGGTGGTTCAGCATCGCGTCAAGACGCACCCAACGGCCACTGAGAAGCGCCCAATATGCCCCAAGAGGACACCAACAGGCCTGAGACACCCCAAAGACGCTTTCCAGGAGGCCTTCGAGAAGCCAGAATTGCTGATGTCCTTTTGTTTGCTGAATATTTTCCGTTTTCTACGCCCTTCGGTCAAAGATTGGCCCACTTGCGGTCTTCAAAGGCCCACAGAAGCTCACTGAGAGCCACAATATGACGATCGAACAACACGCACCCATACCCATAGGGGGGGCGGAGGGGGCTATGGGCGCGTGTTGTCGGATGGGGGTCCCCGCTCGAACGGGAGCTTCCCCCAGGGGCCGACAACCCGCACCCATACCCATGGCCAGTCCTCCTCCTTCCGACGCTCCTGTGGGTATCGGTGTGTGTTGTTCGCTCGTCACAATAGGGCCCGTAGACGGCCCAGGACAGCCCCAAGAAAGTCCCCAGCTGGCCCAAGAGGGCATCCGAGGGGACCCAAGACGGCCTAACCGGGCCCAATAATGTCCGAAAATGACTCCACGACGGCCCCAAGAGACCCCCCAGGCAGCCAAAATGTACCCAAGACGGCCCAAGAGGGCCCCAAGACCACCGAACAGGGCCCCAGGGGACCCCCGGGACTACCGCACAGGAGCCCACGAAAGCCCCAAGGCGGCCCAAATAGTCCCCCTGAGAGCTCGTCGGCGAGAGGTGTCAAATAAGAGAGGAGGAGGAGGACGAGGAGGAGGAGGAGGAGGAGGAGGAGGAGCAGGAGGTGGAGGAGGAGGAGGAGGACGGGAAGAGGAGGAGGAGGAGGAGAGGAAGAGGAGGAGGAGGAGGAAAGAGAAAGAGGAGGAAGAGGAGGAGGAGAAAGAGGAGGAGGAGGAGGAGGAGGAGGAGGAGGAGAAAGAGGAGGAGGAGGAGGAGGTGGTGGTGGTGGTGGTGGTGGTGCTCAGTCGGGGGCCATCAGTCTGTCATCTCTCAACTGATCGGTAGCCCCTCCGTTACATATGGAGGCTGGGCCGCCTGCAGGTTCAGCAGGCCGCCGCGGCAAGAGGCGACGCGGCGGCGCAAGGACCGCGCACGATGCCCCGTCGGCGGGGAAGATCCCTCGGGGCATGAAAAAGGAGGGCGGCCGTGGAGGCCCAGGGCCATCCCTAGCTCAGCTAGGGGATGCCCTGGGCCTGAGCCGTCTCCCCCCTATAGCTCAGGCGCCTGCTACCTCTCTATGGAGGCGCGCCGTTGCCGCCAGAGGCGGCATCATGTCTAAGACTGTCAAACTGAAGTAAAGTGCGTAGCTCGCTGCGATATTCTCTTACCTGCTGCAAGAGTTTCGTCGCATGCTCGCTGCCACCTGCTGCCAAACTCCTGGGTATCTGCTGTCGCCTCGGGTCGTGAGCAATTTCTATCACGACCTGGCTGTGCCTACGCCTTACAACTACTGCTTCTTCGTCAGGGTGCCCTGTTTCACTAGCTGCTTCAGCTGCGCCTCCACCACCCTCTCCAGCTCTGTTTTCCGCCCTGCCCCCATCGGCGTCGCGCCTTTTGGCAGGAACCACGCGTGGTTCAGGGCCTCTCGAAGGAGCGCTGGTTGAAATTGGCGTACCTGAGCCACGGCCTCTGGAATTGCCTGCCCGAGCCTGAGCGCCGTCTTGAAGTCCACCAGCGGCCTGATCCCGAACATGACCTTGAACATCTCCTCCATGTCGCTCTCGCGCTGGTAGGCCTTCTTGATCCTGAACATGCTGAACGTCGCGTCCACGAGCCTCTGCCCGTGCTCCCCGTTGGCCATGCCCACCCACTCCGTGAGGATGGCCTTGCTCTCCGCCTGCAACTTGCCCCCCTGGTCGAGCACCTCCGCCGCCTGTTCCACCACCGACAGTGCGATGTGCACGCGCGGGGGCCCTTGTCCGCGCCCGCGGCCCATCTTCTTCACCGCGTTGTTGTAGTCTTGGCCTGCGTCGGCCCCAGCGGCGACCATGCTCGACGATCCTGGGACCAGCCAGAAGTCGAAAATCCCGTTGATCTGGTCTCTGTTCTCCTGGCTGTTGCGCAGCATCAACTTCTGCACCGTCACCAAGGCCCCCCGCATGTCTGCGATCTCGCCGTCTCTCGCCTTGCCGCCCGTGCCGCGCGACAACTCCTGCATGGCCTCCTTCTTGTCCCGTTCTTCGCCAGGACCGTCTCCTGCCTGCCTCTTCGCTCTCCGCGCCATCCTCGCCCCCGCTATCCGGTGCAAATGATTCGACGACCGACTGTGGACCTGGCAGATGCTGGCGAACGCGCCCCTGGAAACTCTCAAAGTTTTGAGCCGAGAAGGAACAGACGCCACAGTCCAGGACTTCGGGGATCTCAAGTTCGCGGCCCCGCTTCGACTGATCCATGAAGCACTTGCCGAATCTCAGGGCGGCCCTTCTGCCGCGGCCCCGCGCGCCTGCTCTATTCACGAAACAGCTCTTGCACCAAGGGCACCGGTTGGTGATAATGATTTTGCTCCAGAGAGGGGTAACTCCATGTGCCTCGCGACGGTGGGCAATCAGACCTGCTGCACTCGTGAACCTTTTCCCACAGGTCGCCTCTCTCCCCCCCCCCTCCTCCTTCGCGTGGTCGCACCAGTAGGGTTTAGAGTACTCCTCCATCGTCTGCTCCTCACCCCCCTCTATGTCGCTCTCCACCTCCCCGTGCCTCTCGATGGCGTTCAAGTACGCAGGGTCCGTTTCCAAAAACATCTCGTTCTCTGGGCCCCCTCTTCGCAGCAGGCGGACGTCGTCACCCCTCGCTCGGTACCATTCGGCAAACGCGGGGCCGACAGATGCAAGGTGATCGAGGTCGGTAAGTTATTGTTTCGCCCAAGGAGTCGAGTCGCTACATACTCGAAAGTCGGCTGATAATCGGGGGGCCTGGCCCATCCAAGCGGTGCTAAACACAGCAGCAACTACCGCCTGATGATCATCTGGATACTTCGCCCATCGGAGGCAATTTCGAATACGACTAACTCTCAACTGTGTTGCGCAACTTGGGACCCCCCGGGCTCTGAACACGTATGTTGTGGTCCTGCAGCGCTTTCCCCCCTCCCCCGTCTCCCAGCTCATCTCCCCTTTGGATCAAGCCCGCGCGAACTTCCCAAGGGCCTGGTCTAAGATGCCGACGAACTTCTCTGGGATCACGAAGGCGAATAATCCACTCAACGCTGATTCTACCACGAATGCCTGGAACATAGATCGGCGGATGCATTTAGCTGTGGAGGACGTCGGGGAGCATCCGCACGGTCGCCAAGCCTGACGGGCAGCCTGGCGCCTCCGAAGAACCTCGCTTAACATGCCCTGCCCGCTCGGCAAGTGCGGCCCTAGTGCGCGCATTTCTCCAAGAGCTTTACCCTGTCGCGCTTTTTCCAACCATCCTGTGGTGTTGGGTCCTCGTTTTGAAGAGACAGCGCCCCGCGTCCCACCTCCTCTCCTCCTCCTCCTCTCCTCGCCCTCCTCCCTCCTCCCCCTCCTTGCCTCTGCTCTCGGCACACCCCTCACACGATTCGTAGCCCCATAGGGAGCTCCACCGAAGGCCCCATGGCTGCCGCCCGCATGCGCCCCGCACACCAATTTCGGCACGCCCCTCACACGTTTCGTGGCCCCACAGGGAGCTCCACCGAAGGCCCCAGCGCTGCCGTCCGCATGCGTCCCGCACACCCATTTCGGCACACCCCTCACACGTTTCGTGGCCCCATAGGGAGCTCCACCGAAGGCCCCATGGCTGCCGCCCGCATGCGCCCCGCACACCCATTTCGGCACACCCCTCACACGTTTCGTGGCCCCATAGGGAGCTCCACCGAAGGCCCCATGGCTGCCGTCCGCATGCGTCCCGCACACCCATTTCGGCACACCCCTCACACGTTTCGTGGCCCCACAGGGAGCTCCACCGAAGGCCCCAGTGCTGCCGTCCGCATGCGTCCCGCACACCCATTTCGGCACACCCCTCACACGTTTCGTGGCCCCACAGGGAGCTCCACCGAAGGCCCCATGGCTGCCGTCCGCATGCGTCCCGCACACCCATTTCGGCACACCCCTCACACGTTTCGTGGCCCCACAGGGAGCTCCACCGAAGGCCCCAGTGCTGCCGTCCGCATGCGTCCCGCACACCCATTTCGGCACACCCCTCACACGTTTCGTGGCCCCATAGGGAGCTCCACCGAAGGCCCCATGGCTGCCGTCCGCATGCGTCCCGCACACCCATTTCGGCACACCCCTCACACGTTTCGTGGCCCCATAGGGAGCTCCACCGAAGGCCCCAACCGGGCACACCCCTCACACAGTGCTGCCCCACGTCCATGCGTCCCGCACACCCATTTCGGCACACCCCTCACACGCTTCGTGGCCCCATAGGGAGCTCCACCGAAGGCCCCATGGCTGCCGTCCGCATGCGCCCCGCACACCCATTTCGGCACACCCCTCACACGTTTCGTGGCCCCACAGGGAGCTCCACCGAAGGCCCCAGTGCTGCCGTCCGCATGCGTCCCGCACACCAGGTGTGTGGCGTGCCGACATGGGCGTCGCGGCGCGCGGGCGCTGCCGTCGGGGTTCCCAGGGAAGCCCCCTGCAGAGGCGACGCTCAGAGTCACGAGTACCGAGAGTCACGCAGACCCAAACTGTTCACAGTCGTATACATACATTTACACTGGGCGTATCCATGCACGCATTCATGCGAATAGAATCAATCGCGCGCAGATTCATTCATAATCAGACTCGCTCGCGATCCGACTCGCACGCGCTCAAGCTTTCATATTCGGACCTATCGTCTTCGTTCGTGTTGTGTACACTGCCACGCATTTCGGCACACCCCTCATACGGCTCGTGGCCCCATAGGGAGCGCCACCGAAGAAGATATTCACAATTGCGGTACTCTCAACTGCATATGGTTGGGTCCTTCGCCATGCTAATTTATCGTCTCAATCGGCGCGCTGTCTGATAGCGTCGCCCCCCCCCCCCCCCTGCGGATCAAGCAGATGATTCGCCTTAGCAGGGTTGAGCGTCCACTGCCCATTGGCCAGGCAGCTCTCTAATCTAGATGCGCTACCGTTCAGAACGTCTGTGACCTTAGCCGCTGATGCCCCCTCCTCAATAACTGTGCTCTTCGTGATATCGTCCATGAACACGCTCAGCTGGGCGTCTATAGGGGGTAGCTCGGATTGGCGAGGGCCGGCAGTTAAATTAGCCTGGCGAAGGACCCAACCATATGCAGTTGAGAGTACCGCAATTGTGAATATCTTCTTCGGTGGCGCTCCCTATGGGGCCACGAGCCGCATGAGGGGTGCGCCGAAATGCGTGGCAGTGCACACAACACGAACGAAGACGATAGGTCCGAATATGAAAGCTCGAGCGCGTGCGAGTCGGATCGCGAGCGAGTCTGATTATGGATGAATCTGCGCGCGATTGATTCTATTCGCATAAATGCGTGCATGGATACGCCCAGTGTAAATGTATGTATACGACTGTGAACAGTTTGGGTCTGCGTGACTCTCGGTACTCGTGACTCTGAGCGTCGCCTCTGCAGGGGGCTTCCCTGGGAACCCCGACGGCAGCGCCCGCGCGCCGCGACGCCCATGTCGGCACGCCACACACGAGGATCGCGCTCGCTTCCCCCCCTCATTTTTTCCATCTCCTTTGCCCGCGCACTCCAAAGACCAAGGCTGCGGGCGCGGCGCAAGGCGGAGCCCCCGCGACGCGCGCTGGTCGCCCCGAAGGGGTCGCAGTGACGCGCGCGGTTCGTCCGCTGAGCGGATCAGAGAGTGATTGCTGGCTGACTCGTAGCGCGCGTGGCTCTGGCCGCCAGGCAGAGCGACGAGGGGCGGGCGACGCGCTGGGCAGAGCGCAATGCGGAGTTTGCGCGACGCGCGCTGATCGCCCCGAGAGGGTCAAAGCGACGCGCGCGAGTCGTCCGCGGCGCGAGGCCAAGCAGTCGGACAGCCAAGAGAAGGCGCGGCTGGGGCGGGCCGCTCCTCAGGTCAGGCCTCGCGGATAAACTCTGTGAAGCCGAGCTCCCTGGCGAGGGCCGTCGCCTCCCTCCTGCACCGCTTCGCGCGCGCCGCAAACTGCCCCAGCTGCTTGCGCAAGCCCTCCGGCGGCCCGGCCAGGAAGAACTCGACGCGCGGAACCCGCATGAGCAGGAGGTCCTCGTGGCGCGTGGCGCGCGAGAGCAGCGCGTAGAGCTCCAGCCACCAGTCGTCGTCCTCCTTCTCGCCGTCCCCGACCTCGTGGCGGCCGCAGTCCAGGATCACGCCTGGGCGACGTCGGCCGAGGGAGCAGTGCGCCAGGCAGCCGACGGCCCAGGGCGAGAGTCCACAAGACCGAAGGATGGCTGCGGACTGCTCGCGCCTCGGAGGTCTGGCCGTCCCCGGAGCGCCGTTCCCCCGCCCCGTCGCCTTCTCGCATGGTGCGCCCCTGGCACGCCACCGTGGCGATGACCCTGCCGTGCGAGAACGGGAAGCCCGTCCGGGTGACCTTGGAAGCGCGGAAGGTGAACGGCTCCGACGTGCGGGGCTCGATGAACACCAGCGGGCCCGCGAGGTCCCCCGTGAGGCTCTCGTCGTGGCGCTCGAGGTCATCCACGAAGGGCGCGCTCGCGTACTTCTCCATGCGCACCCAGAACCCCAGCGGCAAGTGCTTTAGATAGATCCTCTTCTCCCCGTCTCTCTCGGCCTTGTCGACGTCGCCCCGATCTCGAGGGTCCACGACGATGTGCACGATCTGCCCCTCGGCATCCTTGACGAGGCCGTTCTTGAGGTCC